ATGAACTGACCAAAGTCATCCCGTCCTTTGGTATGCACTTTGCACCCACAAAGTGTAAGGTCATGCTTGTGGACGTGCAGTCACTGAACACGCCTGGAAGTTGTGGAGCGTTTTACGTATCTTGGAAGTTGTATTAGTTCTGACAGTAGTGTGACAGACGAGGTGAATGCATTGATTTTATGTCACAAATCTACCCGTAAGAGCTCACTACAAATGGTTGCCACAAGCAATTCTAGAACACTGTTTATGATCTTGATAACCATTCACGTAAGTTTCTTTACCATAAATCCTCTTTACTGTCACGAAAATTGCGCAGATGCGCACTCGACTTCGCATACTCACCTTGTGGGTGAAGTGTCCAATCAGAAAACTACCAATCCTTTCGATCTGCGGAGGTTTGACGCCCTGGGCCCGCATATCTTTCGTTGAGATACACTTTACAGATGATAACGGGCCTATCTCTATACGGATGCGGCCCTTGCTCGGCCTGGATTTTCTAATCGCACTGCCAACTGAATTGAGGGCTGTGACTAAGAAAACGTCAAGTTTGTGCTAAAGGTATTTTTGATTCACAAGGAAAACTAGATCAACAAGTTAGCATTCAAGAAGGCTTCCAAGGTTCGATTTTTGGTTTCGTCGTTGAGTACGGAATATATTTTTTGTTAGGATCCAGAGTTGTATTCTCAGAATGCTCAGCCATCCACTTCAGACGCCTTGGTGGTTTATCGACTGGGGATTCGTCCGTCATATGATGCAACCAGCGGTGCCTAAAGAAGTTCGACTAACAAAAATGGGCATACCATTCGGGTGGAACCTGTGATCCTTCATAGTCCCAACCAAAGCGATTGCCGTAGATAACCCATCGATCACGGCCTAGGATCGCCCAGAAATATGAAATAAAGCTAAATTTACCGAAAAAATATTTGTCATTCTGATAGTACTTGTTACCGAACTGATCCATGCCAACGTAAGTGCCCCACTTAAGCTCGTCGGTCCTACGATGCTCAAACGATAAAATTCAACGCACCTAAAAAGCACTCTCATGGAGTTTAACAATCCGCCATTTTGACGAATTATCATCCGCAATGTGGATAGCTTTTCCAGGAACGAAGACATTTCATTTGACCGCCTCTGAAATGACCCTTCTCTTGTGGGGTCAATAGCGCAACACAAAATGTTCGGATACCTGATCTAGGATTCGATATGGCTATAATAGGATCAGAAGGTTTGCATGCCTATAGGAAACAGAAGGTTCGTATTCCGAGATCGACTGACGTCATACCTACCTGGGATTATGTAGTTCCGCCAAAGCAAATAAACTATTCAGACTTAGGAAGCGAGGTGCTGAGTCGGCGTTTCGCAGATTTCACGGATTGATACACGGGATAGAGGCTGTATTCAAATTTTTTTGTTTTTTTTTATCTTGCCGATTAGGGGCTTTAGTCCCCCGGCAAGGCACAGTGGGGGGAAGAGTGTTTATCTGCTCTTCATGATCTAATCAATGGGTTGTGCGTTTGCCTATACGAAGTAGAAAAGGCATCCAAACTTAAAGTGCAATACGTCCTAGATACAGTGCGGACAGCCGTTGGTTAAGGATCACTGCAAGCACCAACCATGTTAAATGAGAGAAATCTTTGTCTGATATGTTCGCGCTCTGAACTTGAGGACCTTACAATGTCTCCAACGTGTATTTCACGGATTGATGCACAGGATCGAGGCTCTTTTCCAAGTTTCCAGGGCTGGTTTTGTTCTTGTCGTCAAACGGCTGTCGTTCGCCTGGAAGGCACAGGTTAAAAGGGTGAGGCACTGCTCTTTATGTTCTCAGCGTGGGGCAGTATGCTTGCCAGCGCGAGGATTCGCATAAACAAATGTCTAATA